GCCCAGAGGGGGACCACGAACCGCAAGCTCGAGCCTTCCGCCCCAAGAGGCCGCCAGGAGGCCCCCAGGAGGCCCCTCAAGAGGCCCCAGGAGACCCCAGTCGTCCAAGGACGCCCCCAAGACGCTTCGCGTCACCAATTTCTTCTCGCAACGATTCCTGGGTCTGTGACTCGACAGAACCTAAGCGCGCGCGAAGCGCGCGCGTGGTTCTAGTATATATATATTTATATATATATATATATATATATATATATATATATATATATATATATACATACATACATACATACATACATACATACATGCACCTGGGGGCGAGGCCGGGGGCCCCAGGACAGGTGCCTCGACCCCCCATAGGGGGGCGGGGGGGGCCTGGGGCCTCCCTGGAGCAGCCCAGGCGGCCCAAGAGTGCCCCAAGAGCGCTCCACGACAGGCCCAGCAGGCTCCAAGAGGCCCAAGAGGGCGCCAAGAGGGCCCCAAGATGCCCAAGATAAGCCCAAGACGGCCGAGGAGGCCCCCAAGACGCTCCAAGAGGCCTCCAAGCGGCCCCCCCAGAGGGCCCCAAGAGGCCCAAATCGTTCATTTTACGAAGGTTTGGGATACATTTTGCCTTTTCCCGCCTTTTCAGCTTTCCGGCGCTCCACGACGGCTCGCAAGCCCCCCGCGGACGCCCCAAGACAGCCCAAGCGGCCTCCAAGAGGGGCTCAAGACGGCTCTAGAGGGCCCCAAGACGGCCCAAGATGCGCCCAAGACGGGCGAAAAGAGGCCCAAGACGGCCCCAAGAGGGCTCCAAGAGGGGAGCCGCGAACAGGAAATTCGAGCTTCCCGCCCCCTCAGGGCCCCGGGAGGCCCCAAAGGGGCCCCAAGAGGCCCCAGGAGACCCCCCAGAGGCACCCAGGAGGCCCGAACGAGGCTTCAAGAGGCCCCCAAACAGCCCCGAGGAACCTTACAATGGACGGTGCGGACGAGCCGCACTTCGGACCGCCGCCGCCGCTGGTCCAAGAAAGCGGCCTCCTCAACGCCATGCGCGCCGTGGCCCTCCTGCGGTGGCACCTCCCGTCCCGGGCCAGCGCATAGGCCCTCGGATCCCAGAGAGAATTCTCCGTCGTCGGCGGTGTCGCCGTCATCGGCGTCGTTGTCGTCGACGCCGTCCCCGCCCTGGTCGCCCCTCGGGTCTTGGGCCGTTTTGGGCGGTTTAGCGGGCTGTCTGCAGACCATCTTCGGCTGCCTGGGGGCCTCTTAGGAGCCTGCGAGGGGCCCCTCGGAGCATTCTGGACGCTTTGGGGGGCCTTCTTGGGGTCTCCTGGGGCTCTCTTTGGGGAGGAAGGCTGGAAATGTCAGGTCGGGTACCCCTGTGAGCTTTTTCTGGGAGCGGTCCTGGGGCCTTTTTGGGCTCTCTTCGGGGCCTCTAGGTCACTCCTGAACCCCAGTTGAGCCGTCTTGGGGCCCTCTTGGAACTCTCTTTGGCCGTCTGGTGCGATCTTGGGGCCCTCTGGGACCCTCTTTGGCCGTCTTGGCGCGAGCTTGGAGGCCCCTGGGCGAATATTATATAAATGCATGTTTTCCGAAGGGAGTTGGGCAATTTTTGCTTATGCGGGCCCTCTTGGGGGTCCTCTTGGATGCCTCTTGGGCCGTCTTGGGCGGTTTGCGGGACTGTCTGCGGACCATATTCGGCTTCCTGGGGGCCTCTTGGAGGCCCCCAGGGGGCCCGTGGGGGGCCTCTTGGGGCATTCTGGATGCTTTGGGGGGCCTTCTTGGGGTCTCCCAGGGCTCTCTATGGGGAGGAAGGCTGGAAATGTCAGGTCGGGTACCCCTGTGAGCCCTTTCTGGGAGCGGTCCTGGAACCTTCTGGGCTGTCTTTGGGGCCTCTAGGTCATTCCTGAACCCCACTTGAGCCGTCTTGGGGCCCTCTTGGAACTCTCTTTGGCCGTTTTTGAATGGTTTCCGCGTCCTGGGCCTCGGAGGCCGCCGCCTCCGACCCCCCGTGGGAGGACGGGCGGCCGGGGAGGTCCAAAATAGTCCAGGAGGGCCTCGAGTCGCCGAAAGACCGCTCCAGGACGCCCAAGGTAGGCCCAAGACGGCCCGAGAGGCTCCCCAAGGCACTCCACGACGCTCCAAAACGCCTCTCCACAGCGCTTCAAGAGGCCGAAATCGTCAATTGTACGAAGGTTTTCGAACGATGTTGGCCTTCCAGCCTTTTCGGCTGTCCGACGTTCCAAGACGGCTCAATAGGCCCCCAAGAGCGCCCCAAGACGGCCCAAGAGGGCCCCAAGACGGTCCCAGAGTCGCCCAAGACAGCCCAACAGAGCCCCAAGACAGCCCCAAGATGCGCCCAAGAGGGGGATCACGACTCCAAAATTCTACCCTCCCGCTTGAAGAGTGCCCCAGGAGGCCCTAAGGAGCCCCCAAGGGGCCCCAGGAGACCCCCCAAGAGGCACCCAGGAGGCCCAAACGAGGCCTAAAGAGGCCACATAACAGCCCCGAGGAGGCCCCACAACGGTCCCAAAACGGCTACCGAGAAGCTGCGGAACTGCCTTCACGACGTCCCCGACAGGCCAACCACGAGATCCAAACCAACACCCATGAGGCCTCTGACCCACCACACAGGGCACTGTGGCGGGAACAGTGACAGCACTTGTGCACAGCATGTTCCGGCAGGAGCCTTCCGGAACACGCTGCAGGAGGAGGAAGATCAGGAGGAGAGAGAGGTGGAGTGGGAGGAGGAGGAGGGGGACGAGGAGGAGGAAGAGGCCTCCAAGACAGCTCCAAGATAGCCGAAGAGGTTTCCAAGAGGGCCCTGGGCGGCCCACGAGGGCCCCAAGGCGGTGCCTGAGGCGCCCAAGAAGGCCCGAGAGGGCCCCAAGACGGCCCCGAGACAGGCCCAAGAAGGGAAACACGAACTGAGAATCCGACCTTTCTGCCCCGAGAGGTTCTCGGGAAGTCCCAAGAGGCCCCCAATCGGATCCAAGAACCCCCCAAGAAGCTCCCAAGAGGGCCGACGAGGTTCCAAGAGATCTCCCAAGGTGGCCCCAGGAGACACAACTCATTGTTTTACGATTGGGCTTTGACGGGTTTTAATTTTTTCTGCCTTTCGGCATCCCGATGCTCCAAGACGGCCCAAGAGGCTTCCAATACCGCTCCAATATACAGGAAGAGGCCTCCAAGAGGGCCCCAAGACGGCCCGCCAGGGCCCCAAGACGGTGCTTGAGGCGCCCAAGACGGCCCGAGAGGGCCCCAAGAGCCCCAAGAGAGGCCCAAGAAGGGGAACGCGACCCAACAGCAGAGCGCTCCCCCCAACGGGCCCGCAGGAGGCCGCAAGAGGACCCCAAAAATCTCCCGAGGGCCCAAAAGGCCCCTAGGAGACGTCCAAGAGGTTTTAGAATAGCCACAGAGTGCCCTGGATGCGTCAAAACTGCTTCCAGGAGGCCCCCGGGATGCTTCCGGATTGCCTCAATCTGGCCGCAGGCGGCCTCAAGTCGTGCCTCCACGCAGCCAAGACGGCCAATGACGGCTTCAGATTGCAGAACCGATGCCCCCAAGGGACCCTCAGACGCCCCCACAAGAGGCACCCAAGAGGTGCTTCCAACAACCAGTTGACGAAGCCTGCGGAACACCCCAGAAGCTCCTCAGATGCCGTCGCGCGCCTGTGCTTGATAGCGTTGTCCAAGATCGTCCAGCGCCCCCCCGACCTGGGCTAGAACCTGAGCGCGCGCGAAGCGCTATATATATATATATATATATATATAAATATATATATATATATATATATATATATTATATATATATATATATATAATATATATATATATACACATACTATGCGTATGTTACCGTCTGTATACGCGTACCAGCATGTACTTTGAATATTATATGTGTTCGTCTGCCACACTTTATGTTGTTTGTTTTGCTGTAGGTTTTTGTGCTGTTGAGTATGCGCCATGTTGTGCCAGTAGTTGGCACTTTAAATACGGTTGCAAGTGATTAGCCCGACCTGGGTCATCAGGTCGAGAGGGGTGTTTCGATGTAGACCCCTCAGGTTGCTGTGCAACCCGTGACGTTCGGCTCACGTGTTCACAGCCGCAAGTTGGCGGTGTGGCATGGGTTCCTTTGCTGCCGTCGGCCGCTGACTGTAGAACAGAGCTCGATCCTTGTGACCAGCGTTTTGCAAAATTTGCAGGTGGAGGATGTGGAGGGACATCGACAGGCAAGAGAAAACGGAAGGCGGGAGGCAGCAAGAGGATGAGAAAGCGGAGGAGCAGGACCCTCTCTTTCTTCCGTCTCGGTCATTCCTTTATTCCCGTTCCTCATCCCCGTTTTCCCCTCCTGCTCTTGCTTTGCCTCCTCCGCTCTGGGGAAATGTTTCAAACGATCCTGGGAGCTCTGCGAAACCCTCGTGGACCCTGGGCGGGGCTTGGTTGTTTTTGGAGGCCTTGTGAGGGCGTGGGAATCTGGGGGAGGCCCTGTCAGCCCTATTTGAACGCACCATGGGTGTGCATGTGACGTATCCCCCCCCACCACCTGGGGCTTGCCAGCAAGTTGTAAGAGTGGATGTCCGAGCTCTCAGGGGCTGAAACATGCGAGTGTGCTGTTCGACTGTTCTAACGAATATGTTATGTTTGCTTGCGCACTGCGAGATCGGTATACGAGTGGCGCTTGGCTGGCGAATCTCGGCCTGGAATGTTTGGGCCACTCCGCGTCGAGATGGGATCCCGATTGGTGGAGCCAGGGTTGTCAACGCTTACCCCCCAAAGGGAAGGGAGTAACTTTGCCACCAGACGCTCTTAGTGTGCATTAGGCACGCGGCGCAGTGGTTGTGCTCAACCAAACTCTGATGTCCAGCCCCCGCAGCGACCCCCGCCTCCCCTCGATCACCCTCCCCTTTCCTCCCTTTGCCTCTCTCCCCCTCCCTATCCCTCATCCTCATCCCTCCTCCTCCCTCTCCTGCCTCCTCTTCGTCTTCGTCGTCGTCGTCGTCGCCTTCTCTTCGCTCTCGCGCCCAGGGCGATCATCCTCAAGTGTACCACGGCGGAGGCCGCCAGCGCCACGTTGAAGGCGGGCCACCGCGACCTTGCGGGGGCGCCCCCTCTTTCTCCGTACTTCCTCGTCTCCCCCCTCCTCACCTTTCGCCTCCTCCTCCTCCTCCTCTTTTCCCCTGCCCCCTTCCCCCATTCCTCTTCCCCGTTCCCCTTCTCCCTTCCCTCCTCCTCCGCCTTCCCCTTTCCCCTCCTCTTCCCCCTCCTCCTCCGTACGTTGTTGTGCAGGCTGCTGGGCACACACACCACACCACACCACACCACACCACACCACACACCACACACCACACACCACACACCACACACTACACTACACTACACACCACACCACACCACACCACACCACACCACACCACACCACACCACACCACACCACACCACACCACACCACACCACACCACACCACGCACACTCACGCACGCACGCACGCACGCAAACAAGCAAACACATATGCACACACACACACACACACCCAAACACACACACACACACACATTCACACATTCACACATTCACACATTCACACATACACATACACATACACAGACAAACACAAACGCACACACACACAGACACACTGTTTAGTCGGCGGCGCAGAGGAGCCTCAGGCGCGGTCGGCAGGTGGAAATGCGAACTGCGAGCGAACTTAGTCGAACGCGCCATGATAAAATAATCCGGCCACGGCCATGCAGATTGGTGGTGGAAAAAGCACGGCGCTGTAAAGCCAGGATGCAGCGGCCAATGAACCCGCGGAGCGAAAACTCAACCAAAGAAGTCGAAATGCAAACAGTAGTCTGGTGCTAATTAGAGCCTCAAGAGGCGACAGAAAGAGCTGTAAGGCTGCCAGACCAGCCAACTTGGTGGCGGCGCTTAGCACGCAATGAGCTGCGCGACAAGGCGACACAACCGGCCTCGCAACAAGCACGACAAGAGCGCCGTACAACAGGATGCAAGAAGTCTGCGTGAAAAGATGAACACGCGGCCGAGGTCGACATGCCTCGGGCAACAAAAAACAGAGCTGAACGCGGGCGACTGCGAGCAGCAACCGCTTCACGCGGCGGCGCTCGTGGGTGGTGAACAGCGCGAGCAAGTCCATGAATGGTGGACAAGCGCGAGCGTGGTCAGCGTGCTGTGCAGACGCCACCGTGAAAGCAGCACAACCGCACCGCAGCCGAAGCGGACCTGGCCAAGAAACTGTCTGGGACCTTGACTTCATGGCGGCATGGGTCGCTTCCCCTGCAAAGGGACTGGTCGTCCGTGATGCGCTGCAGCCAGGCGGCATCAAGGGGGCCATGCACCTGTCCATTTGGTTTTGCTCCCATGATCAACCACCTCACGCACTGTGCCAGTGGGCGCTGCATGGGATCAAAGCGATCCTTCCTTGGACGTCCGTTCAGGGGCATCTCATCCGATTGGTAGGTGTTGCGGATCCAACTGATCAACGAGTCCCGGTTGTGGAGCGACGGGTCCGAGAAGCGCTGCTCTGTGATGGGGCCGTGTACGCACTGACGTCTCCACTCGCTCACTCGCGAAGGGTGCGTTCAAGACAGAATTTGGCATGTTTTCCCATCGCGTCCAGACCCAGGGAGGGGGGGAGGTAAACCTCTCGAGCAGGGAAAGGAAGGAGGTTGGAAAAGGAAACGCCCTAGACCACCTGCGCCCAGAGGGCTGGTTGGATTTGGCATGTCTTCCCATCGCGTCCGGGCCAGCTGCTCCGGGGGCCCGTGGTGCTGGGGGCGAAGCTCCACTCCCCCGATCTCTCCCTGCGCCCCGGCCGCCCGTGCTGCGGCAGCCGAGGGGGGGCACCTTCGTGCGCGCAACGCCGCAGTCCTGCCTGCCTTCTCGTGGCTTCTGCCGCGACGGGGCGCCTCAACGGGCGTCCTTCCTTGCCTCGTGGGTCAGAGGAGGGAAAGATACCCATACCTCTACCCTCCGCCCGTTTTTCCCCTTTTCGGGCCTCCTCGGAGGCCCTCGGCGCCACCGCTGGATTCGCAATGAAATTCTGGTCAGAACGCACCCCGGGAGAGGCCCGGGGAGTAGCAGTATCGGTACCTTTTGGTCTCCCCAGTGGGTGAGGTGGCAAACTCTGGTTCGTCCTCTGGCGCGAATCGACCATGCCCCGGGTCGAGATCAACGTGGCGATCCACTGCACCGGAAGGGTATATGCTGCAGCGTAACACGTCCCCGTGGCCATCTATGTCGATCGGATGTGCAAGGCCGTCCAAGATCTTCCAATCTTTAGGATTGGTGGTGGAGACGTGATTGGACAGGAGATTTCCGCTCTTCTTCATCCAATCTGGTCCGCGGAGATGTGAGTAGATCTTGCAGTCGAGAGGGCGGCTGGTAAAGCCCATCTTTCGCTGTCGTCCTCGAGCATCTCCTTGGAGATCAGACTCAGGATCACCCCGTCGACGGCTGGTCTGGCGAGCCGAAGTGTGACCGCGTGGCTGGCCTGCGTTTGGTCATG